AGAATAAGGCAGGGGGAGGGAAAGGGCAGGATAAACAGATTGGTTATGCTTAGGCAAGTTACATATAAAACAGATTAGCAATACCTTCTCCATTAACTATTATAATGTGTTTTTAAAAAACTGTTGATTTTGTTCTGAGATAGTCTGGGTTTTTTTTTGTGAGTTCAACAATTTCTTACTCAAGTACACTGTTAAAAGTTTCTTTTTTCCAAAATAGGTTATTTAAATCTGTAATTGAATGTCTTGAGGGACTGAAATGTTTTGTGATTATTTTATGCTTGTTTTCATCCTGATGTTAAACTTGTATTGTTCATTATTTTGAGTCATGGTGCAGTGGTTAAAATGCAGTATTGCAGGTAATACTGCTGACTGCCAGCTGCTGGAAGTTTGGCAGTTTGAGTCTCACTGGCTCAAGGCTGACTCAGCCTTCCATCCTTCTGAGGTCGTAAAATGAGGACCCAGCTTGTACAAGGCAATATGCTGACTTTGTAAACCGCTTAGAGATGGCTGTGAATCAGTATATAAGTGCTGTTGCTATTGCTGTTTTGTGCAGAGTTTGTCCTGTTTGTTTTATGTAGAATCCAGGGGGGCAATGCTGGCAGATGATGGTATAAATTTCATTAAAGGAAGAACATGTAATGGTGCCTCTAATCATATGTGTGAAGTTGCTGGGATCTGTATGGCACTGCTAGTGTAAAAGAGACATCTGGGCTTAATAGATAGTCTTGTTTGCTTGTTAACATAATTTTCTTGTTGTTTCTTATTGCATGTGAGAATATGCTTCAAACTGGGTGGTTATCTATATGTGGATAGGGGTTCTGCCACTCTATCCCAGAAAGTGGAATGTCATTGTCCAATATAGCCTGTAGCTTATTAATAATGTGCTTGAATGGGGCTTTTCAATTGGAATACTTGTTCATTGGTCTATATGGTCAGTATGGCATAATCTTGTATCTTGTATAAAATAATGTCCTGCACGTTTATTGCACTTCAGATCCATAACATCATACTGGTTAGAAGATTATATAATTTACCATGTTTGACAAGCATGATATGGAAGGCTCAGACGTCAGAGCGATCCATTTTTTGGCCTTCCCATTTGTCTCTTTCTCTTAGTTTTGCCCCACATTGCAGTCAGTCAATAAAAAGCATTTGACTGATTCCAAGATGATTATACTAAGGGTACAGTAATAGCCAACTTGGTTTCTATAAGGAGAACAGTGCAAATTCCTGAGTTATCAATATCATTCATAATTAATGTCTTTTATAAATTTTGAACATGTAACATTAAACCTATATACCACTTCATAGGGCTTTTACAGCCCTCTCTAAGCAGTTTACAGAATCAGCCTATTGTCCCCAACAAACTGGGTCCTCATTTTATCCACCTTGGAAGGATGGAAGGCTGAGTCAACCTTGAGATTTGAACTGCAGCTAGCAGTCAGCTGAAGTAACCTGCAGTATTGCATTCTAACCACTGTGCCACTTTGGCTCTTAGATGTAGAAATGTAAATCTCATTGTAACAGTATTCTAATAATGAAATATGAATCAAATGCACACCTGGAGACAAGTATTCAGGTAAGTATACTATGTAACAAATATACTTGTTAGAAAGGCAGTCCATAAATATTTTGTGTTTTAGGCTGTAAGGCATAGATATGAAGAAGAATAATGATACTAACTTTTCTTTCCATCTTCATTCACTCTGTGGAGTTCTGCAACAGGGAATCTTTATATTCCTGAAAGTTCAGTGCACAATTTAGAATTCTAAGATATGTAGGAATCCTTCATGGAAACAAAAGGCTCTGTAGTACAGTTTTCCATCAATGTGTCTGTAGAAGGAAGAGAAGGGATAATGAAAGTTACAGCAAAGAAAGTGCATGTACTAGCTTGTTTATCCCTGGTCTTCACTGCACATTTCCAGATCCTGAAGATGAAACTCAAATACTTTGGCCATCTAATGAGAAGGAAGAACTCACTGGAGAAGAGCCTAATGCTTGGAAAGATTGAGAGCAAAAGAAGAAAGGGACGACAGAGAATGGGGTGGCTGGATGGAGTCACCGAGGCAGTAGGCATGAGCTTAAATGGAGAGGATGGTAGAGGACAGGAAGGCCTGGAGGAACGTTGTCCATGGTGTCGCAATGGGTCAGACACGATTTTGCAACTAACAACAAAAAAAGCAGCACAAAAAACTATAGCTTGTAAAGTTACAGAGAAGATTAACATAACCATTCCAACAATGCAGGTTTTCTAAGGCGCTTTAGAACATTGGTTTTATACTTGGATTTCACACTCACTGTTATCCACTTTTGTAGACACTCAGTATTTAGGAGTGATCTATATAGACCCTTTATTAAATGAATGTGGAAAAAACCCATGTGAATTAAAAACTGAATAGAAAGGCTTTGTCTACTGCAGGCAAGGGAAGTTTCTTCCATGATTTCATACAGAGCAGTAGAATTATAAATATCTTTAAGCTGGAAGGGACTATGGAATAATGCAATATTGTATTTGAATAACTCTGTCAATAGTTAATATTGAATGCTGAAAGAGCAAGAATGGAATATGAAACTGATGTACTGTGCAACTTCCCTATCCCTGGCTTATTACTTAACGGTGTTTTTTTCCCCCTTTTCTTTTTTGCCTTCAGATATCAATGGGACTCGGATATGCCCCACTTCCCTGGTCTCTCTTCATGCACCATCTTCAGATCTTGAAAATGTGCCACGTCTTCGCTACCTGCGCCTCGACGGCAACTTGCTGAAGCCACCCATCCCTTTGGACCTGATGCTGTGTTTCCGGCTCTTGCAGTCGGTTATATATTAAGCCTTGCAGCAATTGCCACTCCTTGGGACTTTGTGCAGTGACTTGATTCCAGTCTATGTTAGACAAGGGGAATATACCTAAGCATCTCTACCCAGACCTTTCCTGCTCCACTCTGCTTCGTTTTTCCTTGGCTGCTGGAAGCTCTGTGCTTTGTGCAGCTCTCCTTTATACAGCATTTTATGGATGCTTTATTCCAATGGTGAAATTCAGATTTTTTTTTTACTTCCGGTTCTGTGGGCATGGCTTCGTGGGCATAGCAGGGGAAGG